GGGCTATGGTTACAGGCGGGGAGAGGCAGCCCTTACCTGCCGCCAAGTCACGCCTTCGGCCGCAGGTGCCGCAGGGAGGGAGGCTGCACACCCTTCCAGCAGCCACTTCCAGGGCCCTTCGCCCATAAAACCCTGCTGGGGGAAGCCTGCCCGTGGCTGATAAAGAGGAGTGAGGTAACCCTACGTGCGTCCACGGCCGGGGCACCCGAAGAGCAGGTTGAGGTCTTGCAGTGTTCTTCCTCCGCCCTGTGAAAAATCACTGCGGGAGGAGCGTCGGCGGGTGCCACATCTCGGGCGGGCAGACGGGGAGGTTGTTTTGCCGAGGCCGCTGCGTGCAGAGGCAGGACGGGTGGTTACACACTCTGCAGAGCCTGTTTGTAAACTTCCCCAGCTGGAGAAATCCTCCTGGAGAAACGCTCCAGTCAGCACAACGCCGGTACTCACAAGTATTTACATCAGGGAGAGGGCATAAACGCACGATATGTGAATTTGTGATGCTCACTTTCATTCAGTAGAAGGGAGAGCTTCCATGGCGGATCTCAACACACCACTAAAGTTAACCAGTTTCATCCTTTTTGAAGATTTATAGGCACCTGTCAGGGAGCAGCGTGCTCTGTTTTGCACCAGGACACCTACATCCTCCCCCAGGCACCATGACTACAGGATTCACTTAGGCTTAAATTGTCTCTAAGATGCAAACTATGAGATTAAGATCCTCCTTTGACAGTAAAAACTGCTTTGAGGGAATAAATGTCATTCCCAGTCAGAGAAAAACTGATGTGCAATTTTCTGCTGGAGAGCAGTTTTCTCCCAGGACATCCAAGTGCCACCTTCCTACCTTTGGGGTAGTTAAGGAGATGAAACCTGGACCATGATGGGACCAAGACCCCAGACTCTTACCTGTGTGACAGGTACCCAAAACCTGGCCAACTTCCATCAAACCGGTGTTTTCCCATGGAGCATTTCAGCATTGCCTGTTTGCATCTCCCAGGCCCCACCAGCTCTAGCAAAAGCTGATGAGCCCTGTGGGACACCCCACCAGCATGGTGTAGCTCCCTGCTACAGGTGACACACCGCTGAAGCGCTCTCGAGGGAGGGCTTCTTTCCAGAGACTGAGGGGAAAGCAAAGTGATTGGGAAACACCCTGCAAATATCCAGACTCTTGTAAAACACAGCTGGGGCTTCCTAACTCCCTCGGCTCCTGATTGGGAAATACTTTCTTAATGATCCAAACTGGATGTGTCAGGCGGATGAAGGAAGTTCCTGCATCGCTGCAGCAGCCCTCCTTCCCATGGGAAAATATCCATGGAAAGTGCTGGGCACTGATTGCCAGGCAGCTCACATCCAGGTCCTACCCAGGGTTGAGGCAAAAGTGTTCAGCCAGGGCTTGAAGGCAGCCCCAGGCTCCCAGAGGCAGATGGAGCTTTAGACCTCACCGAAACGTGTGGGAATGGGGTGGCAAGATGTCTCTGAGCTCACACATGCTTTCAAACTGGTCTCCTCCTTCTGCAGCTTTCGTAAGGACCTGGAGCATGGCCAGCTGGCCCTGCCCTGGTCCCAACATGGCAAAGCAGGCACTGCCTGGCAAGGAAATACATTGTCCTGTTCACCTGAATGTGTTGGTAGCAGTCATAACCTTGGGATCACACTGACTCATTCCTCGTGTCTCTGATAGAAAAGTGGTGAAAAACATCTTCCCTCTCCCTAGACAGGTAGGAACAAAAATGTCCTTGGTTTTGTTCTTGCTTTTCTCATCCCGAAACCTCACCCATTGTCCATGAAGCTGGCATAGGGCAAGGGGAACTGCTGCCCGTGAGGAGCCCAGGTGTCCTTCTGGGGCTGTGCTGTGCCCAAGGAGTATGTGGACTGTGCAGTCCCCAGCACGGCTCTCGTTAGCCACATGCTGCTGACATTATGGCTAATGGAGCAACAGGCTCTCGCCGATGGTTTCCTTATTTAATTTCCTCCTCTTGGCAAAAAGTTGCTGCTTGTGGAGACACATGGAGCTCAGTGCTGTGTACTCAGCCTGGAGAAGAACAACATCCAGAATCTACGCAACGTGGAGATGGGCCAAGACGTCACATCCCAGGCTGGTGTGGTGGCACTCCCTGTCTGCCCAGGTTAGGGAGGGGAAATGCTACAGTCAGGGCCATGACAAAAATACCAAGACAAACAGGACATAGAATAGGAGAAATATGGTTGAGGAGCATAATAATGCACCATAATAATCGGTGTGGTGTGGTTTATTATCCAGCAGAGCTGCAGCTCTGGAGGAATAGTATTGTTTGGGCTTGGGACCATGGCCCTGTCTGTCCCCTTTGTGTTCAGTTCTGTAACATGAAATCACATTTTAGCACCAAGGAAATGGAACAAATGACTATTTACCATGCATTCTGCAAAACTGCTGGGTGGACTGACATTTCATTTTCTTGCTGTTTTTGACTTCTGCCTGTAAGAAAATATAATGGAAAATTCATGTATTTTGCTATCTCATGGCTCAGAAAATGCTGGCGATAAACTAAATCAAGACTATCATGTAAAGAAAACAATGCTAATACAAGTCGTATTTTGTCATTCTAGCATAAGACATAATTTTCACACTATAAAAACATAACACATAGCCCAATTACAGTACCTTTATAGTGCTTCCTATTTAATTGGATAATAAAAGCTCAGGGTCAGACTCCAGGTGTAAGTAGGTTATTTGGGAAATCCTTTTTTTTTTTTCTCTAAATGGAAAACATCTGTCATGAAGACACATGCAGCAAAGCAGCTGTAATTGGAGATTACGTGAGCCCAGAAGTTTGCTGCTGTGAGGGCAGGGTGCTGCTTTCAGTTCAAACCTCACAGCTCCTTCACCTGCTTCCCTCGCCATCACCGGGGCTCATCACACTTTTGTTCCTCTTGTGCCACCTTGAGGGAAACAAACTCTGGTGCACGGGTAGAATTCACTGAGTTTGCTGCTACCCAAACCCCTAAACACTCTGCTTTCAGGTGGGGTTTTTCCCAGGCCCCTGGGCAGACCATCAGCTGCTCCTGGTTATAAAAGCAAAGAACAAAGTTTTGGGCCATGGTTCCTTTCTGTCTTGTCAATGCTACTGATAAAGGCTAGGTAAAATCTTTAGGTCTGTCCCTAGAAAGGAAGGGGGAATTTAATTAAATCTCTGTTAAATTTCGGTTTGCACAGCCCAGCTGCTGACACTGGGAGACTCATCTGGTGGGACAGCTCAGGCAGGTGAAATGATTCCCCCCATCCATGTCTCTGTCTTGGAAACTGTCAAAAAGTCTTTTTGGTTTGGCACAGGTTCTCCCGTGGTTCTTGCTACTTTGTCTAGATAGAAAGGTAACAAGAAGGAGAAAATAATAGGAAGAAATAGGACTTACCTCTGTGGACTCACCAGAAACAGGTGCCTTTTTTATTTATCTTTAAAGGATGCTAAATGATGCTATAAACCCTTTTGCCATAGACAGACAGTAGATGCTCACCCAGCACCACCTCCAGAGAAAAATCTAGCCTGCGTAGACAGTGCGTGGTGGGAGAAGTAAACACCCAGCTGTATGAATAAATCCCTGCTATGTAGCACGCAAAGAGAAGCTCTCAGTCTCCAAAGACTCTTCTGGGGATTGCCTCAACCTTGTAGACTTCTTCACTACTCACGAAACTATGGAACAGCTTCCTGAAGGGAACTGAAACATTTCTGCACATAAAGCTGAATGGAGTTCTGAACTAGGCATGTCAAAATTACAGCTTTTTTTTTTTAATTCTTGCATTTAAAACTTCTGTGGATTGCCAACCTACAGATGCATGCTGTGGTTTTAATGCAGACCTCTGAATTCTTGAAGATCTATTATTATAATGTTTGTCCTGTTGATCCAGCTGCTGAGTTCACACATGCACCAATAGCACTTCAGTGTCATCTGCAGATGATGCCTCAGATCACACAATGTTTCTCCACAAAGGCCAGTAGCTACACCAGCAGAAACTATAGTTGCCTGCATTAACATGGAAACAAGTGGAAATCAAAACATAATTTGTGATCTCCACCAAATAGTTCCTTCTTTTGAAAGCCAAGGTACATTGTCCACCTTATGCTTCACATCAGGAGGCGAAGGTTGTGCACAGACATCTTGTAACCTCCCCATCCAAACAGGCCAGATGACCACTGCCATGAGAAGTTGTACTGATCCCAAGGATGACTTTACTGCCAGGTCGAAGAGCTACCCTGACACCTAGTGCTAGCTGGTGTCTTCTTGAAAACCACAGAAAACGTTTTCAGAGCAATGAAACCCACTGCTCTTCCCTCCTGGGTTAAGTTACAGGTGGTTTCTCACTCTGACTTCTCTGTTGTGGTTTCAGGGCAGAAGGGAAGCAATGAAGAAGTCCTGCCTTCTCTGGCCGAGCAGGTAGAGCAAGATGGGTGTGGGTGGAGCTGGTAGGATGGTGAAGTTTTGCTTGCTCCTGGAAATGCAGTGCTCAGCCGCCCAGCCTCTCAGTGCCAGGCTCCTCCTTCAGCTCTGGTATCCTGCAGTAGATACTGGCCTCTGACTTGGTTTTCTTTTCCACCCTTCAAGCAAGCGTTGGCCTCCTGCAAAGCTGCCTGTGCAGTGCAAACGGCCTGAGCTGGCAGCTTAAACCCATCCAGCACCAAACAACATCTCTCAATCAACACGGAAAACGCCTGGTCAAATAAAAGGGTGACCTTCTACTTGGGCCACCATCACATCACTATCCTCTTTAGACTACTGTCCATCAGCTCCTGTTTGAGAAATAGAAATGAAGGTGCCAAGAACTGAATGAGCTTCTGGCACACAAAGATGTCACCTCTGGATGGGGATAGATGTGTTTTGGAGGTCTGTCACCTCCCTTTTAGTGGACAGACTTCTGTCTCCCTGTGCCTATGTTTTCTGAGCTCTTCCAACAACTATGATTTAAAAGAATTGTCCTTTTTTTTTTTTTTTTTTCATAATTCATACATCAAGAACACACAACTGAAACAGGGTGGAGTTGAAAAATATACTGGTTGCTTTTTTATTGAGCACCAACGTGGCAGAACGTGTACACGTCCAAGCACCGGGGGCACAAACCGGGAAGGGTCTCCCTGGGGCTGCTGTGGGGCAGAGCAGCTCCACTGGCACCACTCAAGGATCCGGAAGGCCATGAGCATTGCGAGCACACAGTGACACACGTAAAGCCTGTTATAGCACCAAACATGCTTTAAAGTGTACATAGGAACCTTAAAAGCAACCTACACCAATGGTGTCCTACTGTGCTTCAAAAGAGCGTTGTGAAGCCGTTTGGCTTTGGAGAGAAGATAAGCAGAGGACAACTCATTTGGCCTGTGTTTTCTTTTCAACGTGTGATGGATGTCGGTGTTGAAAACACAGCGTTTACACAAGTCTTTTCTGTGGCTTTTGTTTCCGAGTTTGACAATTAATAACTTGGAAAGGATTCACTTGCAAAAAAAGCACCCCAAGCATTATAGCACCACAAGGAAGGGTGATGTCTTTGATAACACCCAGTAAACAGAAAATCATCAACTAATTATTAATTTGTCAATTTTCTTTTTTTAAAATTCCTTTTGCATCTCATCCAGCAAGGTGGTCAGGTATGTGCTTTTGTAGCTACAAAAAAGTAGGCCCTGAAGTGAATGTGTCCACTCAAATTAAGCATATTTCTGGATGCTTTGCAAGATTAGGTTGAGATCTGAAGTTTTAATCTAGATATGCTCAAGACATGTTCTTCAACTGGATCCTCTGATGTTTTTAGGCACAGAATTTTTATTTTAAAACAGATCAATTTGGCATTTACTCTTTGGGACTTCGCAGTAACCCCTGAAGTGCTTTGCTCATTTAATCAGAATTTGATTTTTCTGCAAAAAGTAATGCTGGAAAAAGGCAACCAATTTCACTGGGCAGCACCAAGGAGCAAGGCTGCATTAAGACTTTTAATTATGAGCTGTGTTGCTTTAAGTTGCCAAGTAGCGTCAGTGGCAAAGCAGCACGTTTCTGGCCTAAACTGAGATTGGAACTTTAAAGTATGGAAGGATTCCTGTCTCTCAGCAGGAGTTAAGATATCTTTGTATGAAGCCGTATATGATAAAAGTCTAGAAACAGATCTGTCCAAATCCATCCTAGAATTTGGAATGAAGGCACAAAGAAGTGAATGGAGTTCAAGAAATGAAGATATTTCAGAAAACGTGGAGCCCTTCATCTGCTCCTTTGCTCTGTAAAGCATCAAGGACCGTGCCTGTTTGTGATAGAAAACAGAAGAGTAGTTTGGCATCTTTCATCTCTCCAGCTGCAAAAGTCATATGCAAAGTATCAAGAGTTTTATAGGCATCTCAGCTTTGGCTTAAAACATTTGGTGAGTGGAAAAAAAAAATCTTATAGTTTGGGGGTGGAAGCAGGCACTTGTATTTGTGAATTGGGTATTTATATAGAGGGCTACTACTCTGCATATTAAATGCTAATTTTATGCATGCAGATGGGGACACGAACTAAATAAGGGAGCATACATGGCTTCTTTCGCCTAGCAATTCTGGCAGACTTGTCAAAATGAAATGCAACTGTCCCTTTAGGACTGCCACAGAAAAGGAAAACATTCATAGAAAACATGTTTTCCATTTTATAATGCCAAACAGCTGAAAGAAGCTGTAAGGGCCAGATACAAGTAATTTGACCTTAAGGATTTATAAAAGTCAACGTAAAGGTATGGGACTTTCAAAAAGCAGTTGCCCATCTGCCAGACAATCCTTTTAATCACACAAATTTATCCTGCTTTTTCTTTTCTAATACGTGCAACAAATAATCCAGACTCGAGCCCTCTTGACGACGTTTTGCAGGTACAAATACGCAGCTGTACATTTTGTGAGTATTAACTGTGCTGGCTAAAAGTAACAAGTTAAAAAGACTGGCAAATGTGTGTGCACTTAGATATTGTAGAAAGAAATCTTTTTCATCTCTAGCTCTCGATCTGCAGACTGAGAAGCTAAAGGAAATTAACTTAAAAAAATATTTATAAAACCTGTTTTGCTCCTAGCTCAGAGTTCCTCAAATTCCTAAGAAGGAATAAAGAATTCTTTCAAATTCCTTAAATTCCTCAAATTCTACATCTCAAATTCAGGTGTAGCCTCGTAAATTGGGTGTCAAACCTGGTGACCCATAGGTATCAACAGGAAAATAATAAATGTGCAGGTTCCTTCAAACTTGAAGTTTATGAAAAGGCTTACTTAAAGTAGTTGCTCTGGATGGGTAGGCACTGCATTTGATCCAGAGAGCCCCTTTAGCCTTACATTCTTGCCTATTTTAATGCAGCTTAGATATGATATGGAGGTACAATCCTGACGTCACTTCATTTTTATAATACTGAGTTATGTTCATGGTCATGAAATCTGAATCAGTCACATAATGCACACACAAAGGGCAGGCTCTGTTCCAGCAGCCTGATAATGGTGCTGTGGCTTATAGGGATCTGCTCAGAGGTATTTACATTTCATGGGTAGAAGGGCAGCTGATAAATGGTGTGGTTTCTTTCAGGGGATCACATTTCTCCCCCTGCTGATAGGCTTAAAATCTAGACTCAAACTGTTCCTTGAATAGCAAAGTCTTTTTCTCACTGGTGGGCAGGGATCAGGGTAACGCTGGAGATGTGCTCATGGAGATTTGGGATCAGAATTCTTCCAAAACAGAAAACTGTTGGGTAAAGCATTCCTTGACAGCTGCTTAACAGAATGGTCCAGCTGGGTGAAAATCAAACAAGAAAAAAAAAAAAAAAAGGAATTAAAATATTTATCCTTCCTGGGATGTTTGCACAGAACTTGTCCTTATGTAGCTGTGTAATCTTAACAGTCAGCCTGACGTAGGTACATAAAAGACACACTGAACTGCTCTGTTTTCTTAACTGGCAGTTAAGCTCAAGTTGGTTTTAAAGTGAAGCTGGAAGTGTTGAGAAAACTATCTTGGGACTGAACCCTTGGTATAATAAATATTTTCATTCTTGCCCAATTCAAAGCCTGATAAAATGATTGGAGCTTTTTCCACCAGCTTGGCTCTGCCCAGATACAAGTACATTTGCTCATGAGTGGGTGACGCTGTTCAGTGCAACTGTTCACACACATAAAGTTACCCCACAAAATCACCCACATGCCTAAGGATTGGCAGGACTGACCCTTACTGAAATCAGTCCAGAATAAAGAGCTGTTTAATTAGTCTTGCAGGAGCAGCTCTACCTGCATTAGTAGAAGCCCCTAAAGAGAAAGTTTAAGGCTCATAAAGTTTTGCAGCATTTATTTTTCACCCTGAAAATCACTCCATCCTCTAAACACCCACAAGGCAAAGGTTCTTCAAAGAAATCAGGTGCATCTTGCAAAATTAGAATAAAAAGCAGGAGGGGGAGAGTAAGAGTTGGGAAAGATTAACTTCTCCACAGACAGTTTGCAGAGCTCAAACACCAATGCCACAGGTTCTCCGGATATTTTTACAGCACCATTTGTTTGTTGGCCTAGGTGTTTTAGCTCAGTTCATGGAGCCTGAGGTGTGCACCTGTATGCAGTTTTAAGGTGCTGTAATTATGTTTGTATAAGAGAGGCAATTTCACCCTCAAACACTCATTTTTAAATATAGTTGCATACTAAGCACCAGTTATTTTCACCCAGCTTTCCCTTTCCCAGCAGGGCACTTACCCAGGCACACTTCTGATTAGCCTAAATGCTTCTGTTGGTTTTTCACGTAGCCAACCACGTTGTTGGAATTGCTTCCTGTAAAACAAATATCAGCAAAGTGACATTTTCAGTTAGTCTGTGGCAAATGTTTTTCCAAGGTTCTCTAAGCAGTACAGTTTCACTGGTCTCATCATTTATCAGTTCCCTGGGAGAGCTGTGGTAGCCTGCTGGATGGAGGAAAGGAAATCCTTTCCTAGCTTTATCAGATAAATTGGCCAAATTTGGCTGTTCGTTGCTCTTACCATACCAAAGACGTTGCCTAGTTATATCTGAATATCACTTCCAACCTGATCTGACTGTCCCCCTCTAGATCCAAGGGTTAGCAGAAACCAAGACCTTTGAATCTTTGAGAGAGATCTTCTGGAAGATTCTCCTGCTTTCTTTGAGACTGATATCAACCAAATTGTGCAAGGGAGCTGACACCTCTTGTGATTGTAGATAACAAGAAGGGACTGTTTCACTGGGCTCCAGTCATCTCTTATAAGATACGACAATACAAACTTTTGGCAAAAGACCCTGTTTTTGACAGAGTTCTGTGTTCATCTCCAAGGAGTCCTGGGCCATAAGTAAAGCTCCAAAAATACAGGTAAAAATAACAAAAGGCTATTGGGTTGGCTGTTTCTCAACCCCTGGCAGAAGGCTGCACCATTGAACACATTGTGTCACAGCTGGAGATAATGATTCTCCAGAGTCCACAGTCAGGGCATTCCTCTTAAAATAAGATCCTTTGACCAAGTCATAGAGAGTTGAGGCTAAAGTATCTCTTTTTGCTACGTACAAACGTTCATTGCATAAGCAGCACATTCCTTGTAAGCAATGCAACAACTATAAGGCTTAAAAATAGCAAACACTTCATGCCAGTGGCTTACCAAAATATTCCTTGTAGTACTTATGCCTCAGGTTGCGTCCATCTGAAAAAGAAGGTACGTAATGAGAACATACCCAGTCAGCCTTCATTCCTTGTGTTAAACTCCAGCCCTCTGTGCAGCACAGAGAAATTACAGACCTGGAAATAATAACCTCACAAACAGGAAAATAAAAGGTCTCTACAGCTGAAGCAGTGTAGGCTGCTAAAACCTATTCTAGAACTGTTTGGATTATTCAACTATGCAGACACAGCTCACTTTCCCTGAGTTGTTAACCGCTGGCCAGTGACATGTAAGGTTCTTTTCAGTAGCTCCGAGTCAAGGAATCACAGACTTTCTCCAATTTGGGAAAAATGTCAGAAAATTTGGGTAAAATTTCAGACCATCTCCTAGCGTTTTACATAATTCAAGTTCCAGGTTGGTTTTTCTGTTTACCATTTATATTGCTATTTAAGCTCTTAGACATACCTAGTGTCCGAGCCATACAGCTATACATTACCTTAGTTACTACAGGTGTTATTAATGAAAAAGTTATCAAAGAATAAAAGAGATGATCAAAAAGCCCTGGAAAAAAATCTTAGTCCTTTATGGAAGCAGTTCAGAGATCTGGTTTGATGCTTCCCCTGGCTTTTACAGTGACCAAATGACCAATGTCTCTACACTGAGATGATTTGTAGCCCAGTACAGACAGACACACCTTACAATTCAGTGAAGTTACACATGCCAAGACATGTTGTGAGCTTTCCTGGAAAATACCTTGGCCTATGTAAGTTTCTTTATTGGGCAAACGTGTCAGCAGAATAAAGAGAACAATGTTTTGGATGCAGAAAGCAAAGTCAGAAGTCAAAACTGCAATTTGAATCTCGTATTTCTCAGTTAAGTGTGGAGTAATATATAAATATTTCTATTTTTTGTGCTGCGTAATAACGACACACACAGGTTCCCACCTGCTCTGCTTACACAACCCCAGAGGACACTGGCATCCAGAGCAAACAAGAAATGTGTTCCCTGCATTGGGTATTTCACATAGCTCAGCCAACATCAAGGGCATTAGAGATCTGAGATTGCTGCAGTGTGGAGACTGTCTCCCAGCCCAGCTGTCCCACACTGCCATGGGGCTGTGAGCTGCCCAGAAAACCCAGGAAGCCCACAAGAGCAGATGTACCACCACATCTCCTTCAACGCCAGTAAGAGCACACCATCCCTTACTGGTGTTTGCATGACAGAACAAGAAAGGAAAGGAGATTCCCAGCCAACTGACCTGGATTTCCACGCAGCTTGATGCACTGGCCCCTGTTAGGGATCCCTTCAGCCGTGTTACCCGGGTTGATGATGTGACATTCATAGCCTGTGGGGCAATGCAGAGGCTCATCTCCATCCTCAGTGGTACTGCAGGCTTCAGCTGCAAAAGAAGCCTGCAGGTCATAAATCACGGCTTTAACACCCACAGGTAACCAAAATATGACAACGGGGCCACCTGCTGTATCTCCTCCCAGACAGGATCTCAGACTACTTCCCATGCAAAGATATCAAGAAGTTAACACTTCAAAGAAGCCGGGCAGAGCAGGTGACCCAGTTCACACCTCACATAAAAACTGATGTGTCTTGCCTGATATGGGGAGTGCAGGTCAGTCCAACTACCTGCAAGGACACCCTCCCCACAGCCTATTTTGCAGGCTGGAGGGGCTGGAGAGCAGTGAAAACAGACCACCGTTGCCCACCACGCTCACGCTGATGGTGGTCCCTCCATGCAGCTATTCCCTCCAAGCAGCCATAAGTCTGTTCCAGCCAGTGTTTCAGGCTGGGTGAGGAATCAGGGAAACATGACCAGGAAGCTGGCAGTTTGCTGCTTTGTTCTTTGCTCCACACCCAGTAACTTAGTGATGAATTTAAACCTCAGCTGTGACTCATTATGGAGTAAGGCAGTACCACCCTCTGTTACAAATGGAGGCTTTAACCACCTTGACCCTGGATATCCAGCAAGTGCAAAGCAGAATAAGAAAGCAAAACTGGACTCACAGGCAGTGCTTGTGTCCACTAAATGTACAGACTATGCAGGGACACTCCACCCTTTCATTTCCCAGGTTTTTAATTTCAAGGACCTCTGCTGTAATTCTGACGCCATGACTGATGCTTCTTACTTCACTAATTACTCCCTCAAGCTGAGATGAAGGTGTTAAGATAAGAACAAATAATATAAGCATGACAAGGATGGATGAGGAGGAAAACCTATTTTATCTTATTTCTAGCAGCACAACTCCAATGAGCTGGAGGCAGAATTTTCTCTTGAAGAACTAGGAGTCTCCATAATAGATGAGAGTCAAGCTTCGGAGAGTCTGATACCATCTGTGTAAGACCAAAGAGGGTAATTTATTGGCACTACCTGTGTCTGATCAAAAGCTGGAAGAGCCTTTCCATGAAGAAATTAAGAACTTCAGGCATACATACATCTGGGAATGTCTTGTAGAAAAATGTTTGTCCCACCTCCCCACTCCCTCCTCGTTTCAATTTAAGGTGTTGGATAAATTGAATTAAAAGACCCTTCCCCCTATGGAATTAGCCCGAAAAGCCCAATCTCATTACCAGTTCCCAAGTTTAGATACTTCCAGCTCCATGTCAGCTTGACAGAACTCTGCAGCAGTTTGCCAGGACTCTTGTTCAGAGCAGCCTTCAGACCCGAGAGCCCCAGCCCCAGCCCAAGGCATCTGTGCAATGAGGCCGCTCTGGAGTAAAAGATCTCCTAATCCAAGTCCGCCCACAGTCTATCAGGAAGCTGGCAGAAAATATGTATATGCTGACAAAGACTTTTTCTCAAAAAGAAAAAAATTTCTACTTATTTCAAGTTCCATTTCCATGGAGTATTCCTATTGCTCTGATGGATAAGCCATACCAGTAAAAAGTCACTGATTTACTGCACCAGAAACTAGCCCCCAGCACCACACAGCGTTACTCCTACGGAAACTCCAGGCAAATACCAGCATCTCCAGGATCCCAACATCCCTGGAAAACCCTGTGCATGATGATTATATTATTCAGTGCCTTTGTATAATTACTGATATTGCAGAGAAGACAGTGAAATGTACTGTACCTTGTAAGACTTCCTCTGGGCCATCCAAAAGCCACCCATTTCCTCCCAGCCAGCGGGGTTTGGGCTGAACCAACCAGTCTAGAACTGTAAAAGACAGAAACAAGAAAGCACACAGTCAAGGTGGAGTAGCCATAGGGCACATGGAAAAGTCACAGATTTCCTCTAACAGCCAGTGACAAGCTGTCAGGCTCCTGAAGGATGGATTTGAGTTTTCGGCAAAATACTTATACTCATGATCCTGTTGCCCCAGTGGCAAGAGAGCCATGGATGTTATCTAGGGCCACAAGAACCTGGTGTTTTAAAGTCCAAAGCAGCTGTTGTTTCGCATCCTCCATTGCCATGGCACAGATCAGATGGCATGGCTGCCTCACATCTGTGAGCACCAATTCAGACTGGGATTACTCGTTTTCTGAATATATAATCCCAGAGGGAAAAAAATGGCCCCAAATGATCCCTAGCATTTGTGCTGGTGGATATTTTGCAACACCAGCTGGAAGTTTTTGATTCAGCAACCATCCCAGAAATCAGAAGTGTGGGGACTGAAGCTTTACCCTCAACTCACACTCAAACCACGCCTCCCATCCGAGACCCAACGCACGTGGGGACTACCAGCATCATTTCTGCATGCTTCGCTCTACCAGTATGATCACTGGGTCCACTCTACCTGGCGGTGGCTGCACGGACTCCAGGCAGGCGTAGATGCAGCCGTTGTAGCAGCAGCGCTTGTGCCGTTCGCACTCCGAATCCGAGCGGCAGCTGGGCACCTCGCAGGCGCGGTCGGGCAGAGTCTGGGGGGGTGGGGGGCAGCGGTCGTTCTTCTGGTAGTGGGAACTGTGAGAATGAAGAGGGTACTCATAATCCTTGCAAAGAAAAGAAAAGGAAACAAAGGTTTGGCACGAGGTGAATACCAAACGTCTCATCAGCTGAAACAGAAGAGGGGTTTTCGAAGTGGTTTTCAAGTATTCATTAGAGAGAAGAATTAACTGTTCAGCCCTGTCTTCAGCGCACTGAAGAGAGAGCTATACCATCACCTTAGCTTACTGCTTTGGAAACACCAAACCACCAAATTATTGTGTGGAACTTGTTTTATAATTGAGGTTATTGTAATGACAATGAGGAGGTAAAAATAATCCTTAAAAACCTTTTATACTTGTCTGGGAAACAGAGAGAAAGACTCCAGGCATCACCATGTCGAGCACACCAAACCACTTTGACAGTAAAGCAGTGGAAATAATGACATTCTATTGTTTTAAGGTTATGTCCCCACACAGACCTGGAACTAATGTCCCAGGCAGCACCTGACTCCTCAATAGGCTCTTTCTACCTTCTTCTGGACCAGAACGTATAGGGGAGTGGTACAAAGTCTTTCAAGCTTGCCCACTGTGGGGTCCTGGCTTGTTAAATGAGAGGCCATTTCTAAAACACGAGAAGATCTGGGTGAGATCTGGGTGGGTGACATCAGTTTAATCCCAAAGAAAATGAGGCTGTGTTTGACTACAGCAGAAAGGATCCCAGCTGCTCATTGCACACCAAAAGGACAAGAGAGATTTAAAGTGGATTAACAGGCACAGGATTTTACCAGAAACATTTATAAGAGAAAGCATTCAGGTATTATTCATGCTGGCAGCATTTTAGCATGAAGCCAACTCCCTCCGACAGAGAGGTGAATCACCAAGCCCACTCCATTCTCACCTATGGCTGAACTACTCATCTCTGGGCTTGAGATCAGCTCCCTGGAGCAGCACAACCTACTCAGAGAGGGCAAATGGTTCTCAGATTAATTAACACACATGAAGCCAACTCCCTCCAACAGAGAGGTGAATCACCAAGCCCACTCCATTCTCACCTATGGCTGAACTACTCATCTCTGGGCTTGAGATCAGCTCCCTGGAGCAGCACAACCTACTCAGAGAGGGCAAACGGTTCTCAGATTAATTAACACACATTAATAAACTCTAGTCAAATAAAAAAATGGATTCTGGATTTGTACTCTTAGAAGAGACCAGCATCCAGCCAAAGGTGTGAAGTGAGTGCCGCCATCACTTTTGAGTTCAAGAGCCCTATATATACTTGGCCTCATCACTGCTGTGTTTCGAAATCAGTGACAAACAACTGGGGTTCTTATTCCAAGAAACAACGTGGTGCAACTGTCCCCGAGGGGGTCTCTAGGAAATTTCATCATCAGGCTATGGAGAAATTTGAGGTGAGACCAATATCCCTCTCTATCTACATGCTGCTACATCCTCGTTGTTGAAATCTCCCAGCGGCTCCCGTGGAGCATGTATGCCTTTATGAAACAGCATGTCCCCACATGTGCTGTCCAAGAAAATGTCCCAGGAGAGGCCCAGGAGGTCGATTGCCCTGGGGACTGGCTGCTGGCCTCTGCTGCTACATGTAAATAAGCAGCAATCTATTATCCATAAGGGTGAAAACAATATCATCTTCATTCCTGTGGGATGATTTGTAATGTAGAGAATGAAGGCAGCCTCAAGGGACACCAAAAGAAATCATGATGCACATTTTTTGCGGTGTTGGTGTGAGAAATTCCATATGGCACATCGCATAGAATAGTACTGATAAGGGGTGGGTTTTACACCAAAGCTGACCTCCGTTCTGGGAGCCATAGGTAGGGGGAAATGGAGAGCAGCAGAGTTTCCCCGCTGCCTGGTTCCACAGCCATCGAGTGTCAGCCAACATCCAACCATAGAGAAAAGTCAGGATGACTAAAAGTTTTCATTTCTGTTACAAGGTGTACGTTAAAGAAAATCTATATCCTGACTATATCTGCAACTGGTTAAATAATGCATGTGTAGGTATCTGTGTGTGAGACAGAGAATTCTTGCTATTTCCACAAACGACAGCCTCCTGCCCTGTTCCCAGCACCAGCCTGCCTTTCCCCAATATCAATAAACAATTTTCTTCTGCTTTTCCTTAGTTTTTTCCATTCAGAAAAAAGAAACTGCTCATAACCCTTCCATCAGGTTGTTTTCCCATAAATTGATAGGCTGTTTGAACAATAAAATAAGTTTTAGACAGAGAATTCTTGCTATTTCCACAAACGGCAGCCTCCTGCCCTGTTCCCAGTACCAGCCTGCCCTGTCCCCAATAGCAATAAACAATTTTCTTCTGCTTTTTCCTTAGTTGTTTCCATTCAGTGAAAAAGAAACTGCTCAAAAGCCTTCCATGAGGTTGTTTTCCCATAAACTGATAGGCTGTTTGAACAATAAAGTAAGTTTGAAAAAAATATTTCCTAATTTTGATGATTTTTCAATGTTAATGTGTAAAACCAGGTGTAAGCTATCACATCATCCCATTCCTCAAACACCCCAGCTTTGAAATAACTTGCTTCTGAATTGAAGATATTGCAAGTTCAACTTTTTTTTTGCTGATGTTGGATTTTAAATAGAGAAAATGCTTGGACCAAGTATAATTTTGGGATATAAGAGAGCATTTAACACTAAGTTTATGCAGTTCCTAACATTTACCAGGTCTTCTTCTTGGAAGGGCATTCATCCTGGAAGGTCACAGTTTACTCTTCTATTATTTGAAATGTCAGCTGCAGACTGAAATGTGACAATAATAATACTGGCAAATAAAGGATCTATGAAAAAAACAAAACCTACGCAACCAACAATTACTGCAGTTACTTCACAGATGATTCACAAATCAAGAAGCCAAAATTGCAATGAACAGTTGGCTCAATGAATGAGATTTCCGTTTGGGAACAATATAACAATTTTAGCCAAGTTAGTTTGTACCTCATGACCTCCCTGCCCATTTTCTCTGTTCACCTAATGCTCTGAACCCCTTTCTTTCAAAACCTCATGGTCAAAAAAGTATTTTTTTGTGCATTTGATCTAATAGAACCATTGCCACTGGCTTATGCATGCATAAACCATCCCAGTGGGAAACAGGATTCCCTCATTTCCAAATTAGCCTGGTTAAGGATATCTCCAGGTAGAGGTTACAGGGTCTTTTAAAAAGCTCTCCCAGGATTCAGTTTGGGTCTGAGCATAGCTCAGATTTACTGTTCTTACAGATTGTGACAACAGTCAAAATTTCTTCCTTTAAGAATATTTTTCAGTGCAGGAGACAAAGTGCTCTTTCCCATGGAGAGTTTTGAAATCATTCTAATGACAATATCTGCCTCAGAGATATCCAGAAACAAAGTAAGGGGAACAGTTCAGAGTTCAGCTGAGGAACCCTGGAGCTCAGTAAAGATGATTAAGAAAAACCTGAATGCAATCACTCGCTCCCAACCCATATTTTCCATGGTAACTGTGGGATGCAGTCTGCTTCCAAAAAATCCCAGCTCTGTTCTATTATTTGTGCCTGAGACTGGACCCTGGGCTTGTGTCAAAGCACAATTCTCTGCTAATTCATATTCTGCATGGCCACCCCCGAGACCACGCGTGAAGTTTATTCCCAGCCTCCAGTCACCGGTTCTGCCCCTGGCAGGTATTTCCAGACACTGCCCATAAACCACCTTTTCCCCAAAACAATCCACAGTCAGGAGGAATTGAGAGCCCTCCAATATTTCTGTCAAAGACCTGGAAAAACACAGATCATCACCAAAGTTGCAAATATCAGACTGAAGGAGGGTTAAATAATCTGAAGGATGAGACCAAAACAATAGGAATAATATTCTCCTGCCACTGACTCTGGATTAGTAGGCTTGGTTCTGGTGTCTGTAGTACTGGAAGATTGTTGCAAAATTAGGGTGGGCTCAAAGAAGATGCATGATAGCAATTAGAGGACTGGAAAGCAGAGAATACAGTGCAAGATTTATATATGTGCATGCAGGTTTCAAAGGGAAGGCTGAGGTAAATAAATTGCTGGAAGAACATTACAGCAGCTGCAAGGATTTCTTCATTTCTGGAAATCTTTAAAAGGCGGCTGGATTTTTTTCTAAAATGCTCAATGCAGTTGACACTGGAATAAAATCAAGACTGCCCCAGTTTTTCCCAATAGACCTGTGAGTGTCTTGATAATGAACTGGAGCCCAGTTCCAGGAAGGTCCTTCCCTCTTCCCTTTGGGAGCAGTCCACAGCCTGTGCAGGGGCTGCAGAACATCAGCTGCAAATCACTAAACTTGACAAGTGTCCTTCTGGCTGGAAAATGCATGGAATTGCTAAAAGCTGGAAGCCCAGCTCCTCCACCCCACTGTGTCTGCCAGTTTTCTCTTCCCACTGCATTCCCTGTCCTCCTTCTCCCTTCTCCATTCTCACTTGACCCCTCCTTGCCAACCACCACCCTTCCTCAGAGTCCTTACTGAAAAACTCCTGGCCAGACCTCAAGCCAGCTCCTCATCGCAGCACCTGCTCACCATTCTGCAGCCAGCAGCTTGGTGGATGCAGTCCTCCTACTGTAGACTCAGTTTTTTTGGACTCAGACAACATCACTCTCAGTCAACTCCCTATCCCTCACCGCCTCCTCCCCCTACAGACCTTGCCCGTGTCCTTCCGGGCGTCCCACAGGGATGTCCATGGCCTGTCTCCTGCACGGCTGGATGTTGCCGTGAGCACCTCCATCTGTTACCCCTCTATCCAAGTGACTCACAAATCAGCTGTTCCACCCACAGCCTCTGATTTTCGAACTGGAGGGAACATACAGCATTTGGTAGAAAAGAAAGCATGTCTCTGAGAAACAAGAGGGGCTGCCAAAATAGACTCTTGGTGGATAAGAGGATGGAGAGCAAACGCTTTCGTCCCTACAAGGCTATGAGGAGAATGAAAAAGAAAACCATTTTCTGCTTTCCCTAGATAAGATGTTTCTGTCAATATGAGCAATTCTGGCTGAGCTTGCCAGAGCAGTAGCACCTGGATTTATGGCTGCCAGAGAAAACAGTCCTTTGAAGGGCTGCAGACTGAAAGAAGAGGATATATCCTCAGGGGAGTGGGCTCTGTGCCTCTACAGAGCACATTATCTAAAGATCAACATGTAAATTCCTGTTCTACTCCTGTCCTATCTCTCTGGGTCATTTACTTCATAGATCCTGTTGAATTTGAGCTTCACATTGAAATATGACACAAGAACATATGAATAAATACATTTTCCAGTGTGTGATTTTGCAGGAAACACAGCTCTTCACGTCACCATTTTCCAATTAAAGCGCAAACCAGATGATACCCTGTCCCAGGGGAGGCTTTGGGAAACGAAGAAAATGTCTTGTTGTAAAATACTGGGGTGCCTTTCAAATATTAGCACATGTTTTCTGGGAAACTTCAAGCAGACAGGAGCCCCGTGTTCCAGTTCAGTCAGCAGGGGCAAATGATGTGTGTTACACTTCTGAGTCAGCAGTCAAAATGTAACTGTCCCCAAACATCACTCTAGATGTCATGGGCAAGACCCCATCCTTTTTAAATGAAAAGGTTTTATATGTGTCTGCAGAAAACAGGTGGAGGAATCCCCCTGTGACACCAAGGAGCTGGTTTTGCACATTAAATGGCTGGAAGATGCAATCAAACCTGAGCATGAGAGAACGGACTGGCCGGGGCTTCCACCTGAGTGATTCAAGGGGCAGAAGCCTTGGGTCAGTGCTGGCTTCTAAGGGGACTTTAAAGGAGTAAGTCAAAACTTCAGATTCAATTTTTTTTTTTCTTTCTAAACAGCATGTCCTGAAAGTCAAGTTATCAAATTATTTTCTTTTTTCTTTTTTTTCCCCCCATGGTTTTCTCCATGGCTATTTCTAATGGCCTTTTGGCCCAGACCCAGAACAAGACCCAGCCCCATCGTTCTCTCCACTCTCAGTAACCTGTTACTCCCTCAGTGTCAATGCCAGCACTGCTGCTCCAAGTACCATTGCAGATTTGGAAACGGTGGTTCCGCTCTGTACCCCATGTGGGTCTGTCAAAAACAGGCAGGGACAGCCAGTGCCCTGTGTGTCTCCCACGGTGTGGGCAGCCGAGGGGAGCTCTGCTCCCAGGGGACACCCCAAGCAGGGCACAGCCATGAGAAGGGATTTCTCTGTTGGCTCCTTACACCCTTTTTGGTGACCAGCGTGTTACTCCGATACCATGGATCTTGAGGTCTCTGTGCTCCATTGATTTACAAAACCCCAAGTGATGCCACCATCCCTCCAGCACACATTATCACTAGGAGTTGGAGACATTTACCCAAAGTTACCCCAAAAGGCAGCAGTGGAACTGGGCAGGGAACCCTCCTCCTGCTGTAAGCGATAAATCCCATTATCTTCTTTTCACTGAATCAATTCCCAGACACGTAGGTTTTGCATTCCCCTTCTCCCCATTCTCCCTTCCCTTGCAGCCCTAGGCAGTCTCTAGGAAAAGCCGTGACGCTGCGGTACCGATGCCTTCTCCCAGTTCCAGTCCTGCTTTCCAAGTTTCCCCCTGCAGCAGCTAGGTGGCAAAAGTTTAGCACAGCCTGGGAAACTTCATGCAACCCTTTGAAAAAGAGACAGCCTGCGGATTCGAGTACTTCTTATTCTAAAATGATCCACGCACACGTAAAGAAAGCTCCCCTTTCACGGTGAGCATTCTCAGCTCCCCCCCTCATCACCCCACCCCAGTTTACTCACATCGTATTTCTCCGTCATTTTCAGCTGTAGAGCACGCTTCCAGAGGTGCCTTGCACAGCCTGAATCTGGCAGCAAAACGAAGACACACAAGGCTGCGGCGAAGATCTTTTTACAGAAAAGCATCTCTGACAGCACCCCGCGATCCACTTTCCTAAGGAGAGATGAAATAAGGAGCCTGGCTTTCGGGATCCAGACGATTCAGAGTCTTGGCAGGGAGGGAGGGAGAGCGAGGGCTGATCGCTGGTGAGAGCCGCTTTTCGCTGCGCAGCTTCTGGGAAGGGAAAAAAAAAAAAAAAAAAAAAAAAAAAAAAAGAGCCCACAAGCAGAAGCCAGGAGCTGCTGTTGAACTTCTTTACTCCAAGTTAGATCAGGTTCTCGGCTCACATGTTCACACAAAGCACATGCTCTCCTTGAATGATAGATGGGAAGATTATTCGGAAAGATTATTTTTAGACCTTTGTTCCCAACATCTGGCATCCTCAGAGCGCCCCATTCAAAGCCAAAGCATGGGATCAGATGACAGCTGCCGCAGGGGGAAATAAAGGTCTTGGAGGGGTGGGCTCGGCAGCTTCTAGCAAACAGCTCACCCAAACTTTCCAAGCTACTCGGCTCTCCCTTTGTGTGCTTCCCACTGTGCCCCCGAGCTGTGGTTTTGGATCATGTTTTGACAAAGTGATAACTTCATATGAAGATTGCTTGAAGGAAATGATTAAAAGATACGATAAACATGCAGGGGCTTTAATTAAAGCAAGTTGACGTTAGCCTTCTGCAAATGATTTCAAAGAAGGGGAAGACGTGGCCGTTGAGAAAAAATAAATCCATACGCATGGGTGGGGAAGAGGGAAGGAAGACCATTTACAAATGACATGACCAAATGGAAAGTGAGGAAGGGGACATGAGTCAGCCTGTGCCTCACAATGGGAGAAACAGAGAGGCTGGACGTGGGGTACTGGACACTTACGTGGACATTCAGACACCCAAGTGCCTGAAGAACAAGAATGGACTTATGAAATCAGGCTGAAAGCATCTCAGCATCCTGCCTGGGACGGGGGCAGAGGCAGGTGCCAAAGAAGAAGTATGAGAGCAGGGTAACTGTTACATATACATAAGTATAGATACATCTATACACATGTATATGTATTTGTATATGTATATACATATGTATATGTATGCATGCATATACTTTTACAGCCTTCAGTAATGTTGTTCAGGGCTTCCTGAGCCAAATGTGGGGGCTGTTTATTTTATTATTCATTATTATTCATTTATTATTTCATTATTAATTTAATAAGGACAACTGTGGGCAACTCATGTCCACGGGTCTGTCTACAGCTATGCAAAGTGACTCCCTAATGACTGAAGCGTTACCTTCAGAAGAAGGCAGAGCTCAACACATACAGGTCGTCTCCCCCCAAATCTCACCTGAATGTCATCTGAAATCAGCAGTTGTGCTGGAGTTAGTGAAAGGCACAATCGGACATTTTCAGCGCATCCAGAGAGGAATATATCACTACCATAAGACTTCCACTTGTGGCTTAGTTTTTTATTGCTCAGAGAACTTTGTCTGACACCACAGGATGTCTCCAGCTCCTTTTAAAAACAAATCTCCCCTGTTTGCTGCAATATTAATATCTGCATCTTGATAAAGCACCTTTTGGGCACAACCAGGAGCTCCCACCAATGTCCTGTCTCCTGTGTTGTAAGGTGACAAACAACATGGCTGGCTGCACAGAATAAACAAGATTTCTTCTTTCTACTTAATTTATGTCGTTGTGCTGATATTTCACTTGTCTGTGCTCTTGCTGAAACCCAAACCAGCATGAAACAACAACTGTTCACGATAAATCTCCCTAATTTAATTTCATTTTTGTTGTTTGTTTCATATACTTGCAATCTGGACTTGGAGCAACTAATTCTAAAGATTAATAGCTACTTCAGACACCACTTACTGGCCTTTCTTTTGGCAGATATACAGCTTTGACATTTACCCAGCAGAAAGTAGGGTCTGTGCATCACAGTTCATGGACTGGTTACCAAAGGAGTGGGAATTCTCCTGGAGGACCAAACCTTAACAGCTGGTCATGGTCTTCACATAAAAATGAATGTTGATGTTACAACATTTAGGTCTCCTGCACACAACCATTTCACCTGAACTTCTCAAAGTACTGCATGCAACGCCTGGACCAGATTATCCCTACCACCAGCTGGGGAAACTGAGGCACGGGGTGAGTGATTTGCTGAAATCAGACCTTCTTCCATCTGCACCACCAAACTACTAGAGTTCTAACAGCTCAGCCCAGGCCAGGGCTCTCTGCTTCAATGCTCTATATTCATATTCAATAGGGAATTCGTCACGCCACCCATTTCCACCCCTCACATGCTTCCACTTCCAGTCTGTCCTGGAAACTAGGCAAGGGATTTTACATTTTTTTATAGGATTAAAAAAATACTTATTTAGCTGGCAACATTGGAAAGAATGTACTTCTCACCTTTTCTGGATATTCTTCTTCTTGGTAGTCTCTGGCAGGGCTGTGTTGTCACAGGACAACTGCAAGACATCTTTAGCCCATTTCACACCCACACTGCCCTCCAATTTGGAGCCCAATGTGCACCTAAACCAAGAGAGACTTTAGTCCACTCAGTTATGGAGGCTCCTTGCTCCTGCTACAGAGCAGTTCCTGTCTTATCAAGTTCACTTTTGAATGACTCGTTCAGAAAAAAAAAAGGGAAAAAAAAAAAAAGAGAAGCAGCTTTGACTTTCTGAAGAATGTCTTGTTTAACAAAGCAGTTCTCGGCAGGTTTATGGCTCCAACTATTAGTACAAAGCATTTTTAGCAGCTTGTGAAGTCATTATAGGAATCACACACAAATCCTTAGCAAACACAGCCACTGGTTATAATTAGAATTTTTAAATTTACTGCTAAGCAGATTTCTGAGTTGTGTTACTTTAAATGCTAGACATTTGATGATGCATGATGTTTTTAAAACTATTATTACGAGAAATAGAGAAAATTAACTGCCATTTTCTCTTAAACTACATCTTATCTACATGCACCAGTTGGGCCACAGTCATTTACTCTAAGCAGAGCATCTCCCTCTGGTGATGGTTACATCCATATTAAGTTGCTGTATGGCTCTCCTACGCAAAGTGCAATCAGTGATGCTGGCATAAGACATCCTTCTATTATTATAATGTCTTGGTTAGATTTGCCTCCTGCTTGTCTGAAATCTTGGGCATTCAGCAGGCAGGCAGTTAGACTGACAGCTGGAGAAAAGCGACAAGGATAGTAAGGTATCAAACTGTATCCACACTGAGCAATTAGCCCAGGGAAAGCATTAAAGGGAAAAGCCACAGCCCCAACCAGCACATCTGGCCAGGTGCAAAGCACATGTGAATCAAGCAGCAAGTAAATTTCCTACTAGTGAAAGTTTACAGCGTGCTCGGTTGTGTCATTCACAATAAAATTATTTTTTTCTATATGCTTTCCCAGGGAACGGGCAGAACATCACCAAGTCAAGATTTCTCTGCTTCAAGATTTGTGGTGCTGTTCCTCCCATGAAATTCCTGCTGCCTTCAAGGATATTGAATGAGATCACTTCATACATCATCACTGAGCAAAGCGTCATCTTCTGTGCATGAATCTGTGCAAATTTCCATTCCACAAATGGTTTCAATAAGGCAAATTCTGCAGTAACATAAATTGCTGTCAGATGATAGTGGGAGAACGTGGCCGAGACTTGAGCATCTCCCCAGGACCTGTGAAACCTTCAGCATCATTTGTTACAGTGAGGAAGATGTATCTGAATAAAAGGATGGGCATTTTATCAGGCTAGGAGAATAAAATCACTTTTGGAACCAGGATTCGTGCTGCCTGATTAGAACAAATTAAATAATGGTTTTTAAAAATGTTCTCTGGGAGGTTCTGAGTGAAAGTCACGGGGTGTTTGTGCCAAGAAGAAATTTCTTTCTCCAGCCAAAAAACAAGTGAGGTAGGTCAGCCTAAGCCAAGACTTCCCCTTTCCCAGAGGAAAGATCTGACTTTTAAGGAAAGATTATGTCAAAGAGAGAGTTTCCTCAGAGCACACAACTCCAGCAGCATGAGGTGACTCATTTTAGCTTGATATAATCACAGTACCTTCATGCCAAGCGTTGCTGCAATTCCTTATCCGTAGCGCTTGCAGGCCTGCTGTTTCCTCGCCAGCTCAGTGTAGGTTCTCTTGCCAATAGCAAAGGGCAATGGTTTTCTGGGGGTTAAGAAGGTTAGAGATTGTTGATATTACCTGGTGCAGTGAGAAGGCGATGTTACAGCTGCTCTGCCTCCCCCCATCTTCTGCACACCCAGCTTCTCGTGGCCAGCCCAGGGGGTCCTGCCTGACGTACCACTGGGGAAAGGGGTTTATGTGGCCTGGGGGAGACCAGCCGGTGTGTGCTGGGATCAGTAAGGGGTGATAGAGGACTTCTAAGGGCTTCTCATGGGTCAGATCCAGCAGGAGAACAACTCCCCTGTGACAGTAAAACCAAGCTAACGCTCCTCCCTGCTGCCTTGGGAAGGCTCAGCCATAGGGCTCCCCAGTCTGCCTTGCACTCCCTTTTAGGAAATCAGTAAAACAAGTAAATCCAGAGCTGTTTTGTTGTGAATATGAGCACAGAAAAACCACAGCCCCAGTTCAGCTTCCCTCAGCTAAACCTGCCAGGAGAAATTCAGGGAAACCTGAGGAAGTGCTATGCTCCCCTGCAATGATCGATGGCATCACTTTTATCTGTATGGTCACCCCTCCCACCCGTGCTTTGTGTAAGAGCCTAAAGCAGCAATATTATAACTGTTACTTCTCTTTCTTGCAAAGAGTCCAGCCAGTGACTGGGATTGCTCTCTGCATGGACCAGCAGGAAAAGGAGTCCCTTACGTGTACCCACCCAGGTGGGTGAATGTGACAATCAACAAATAAAAGAAACTGCAGCATCTCTTGAGGGGTGACACCGAATGCAGATGATACCCCTCCCCACCTCACCAAGGGAGATATTTTAGAGCCAGCTCTACAGGAAGACACCCAATCTGGGTTTTCAGCATGGATTCATTCCTTCTCTCAGCAGGAAAAGCTGGCTGTTGTGTCTGTGCCAGATGTTTGCTACCAGTGAACTCCATTTTACAGACCGAAATAAAAGATCAAAAGCAAATCACAGACAGGTGATTCTCCTTAAGCATCTGGCCTCAAGCCCTCGCAAAGCCTGGCAGAGGTCAATGTTAAGCGGCCCCCAACCATTTGAAAAGGCCTATAAAGAAGAATATAAAGTGTCTCTACTTTTAACTAGCTTTATTGCATATGAGATATAAATTAAGCAGATGAATGTTATTAGAGAAGCGCTCTCATGAGTGCTGCAACCCACTAACAAAATTAGCATGAAGTCTTCAAATAGATGATCAAAACATCGTGTTAATTATGAAGCGGAAAGGTACTTACTCTGGGGGAGAGGCTGGCCTTTGGGGTGCAGTGTGTGGTGGTGCCCCCACTGCAACAACGTGTGCCCAAGAGAGACCACTGCAAATCCCAAACTATTCCTCTGGGTGGGACCACCAGAGCTGCGGTTCTTGCCCACACGCTCCCTTGTGCCAGTTCCCTCTGGGGCACTGTTGTCCCAAAGTCTTTTGTCTCCAAAGAGGCTTCTGTGAGCAGTTAGTGTCCCCGCAGGGAGGCAGAAGAAGAGGTCGGAGGAGTTGGGGGGGGAGCAGGAACCCTTTCCCTCTCAGGCCAGAAGGGATTGTTGCAGGTTTTGGAAGGGGGGGAACATACCGTGGAAGCTCTCACACTGTGACTGCTGAGAGAAGCCGAGTCACGGACTGGAAACCTCAGAGAAATCTCCCTGGAGGACAGGTTTCACCCTAAAATGAAAGACACGGGGAGTTAGTCTGTTTGGGAATTCACATGGATTTTACAGCAAAAGTGCAGCCCTTTACCATGCTCTGCACAGCAGCCAGATTTAATTCCCTTGGGGCAGCCAGATTGCACTCAGGGACCCCTGTGTTCTGTGCTCGGGGCACTCAGCAGAAGGATGGGACACATGATATCTTGCTTGGACCATGGCAAGGCAGAGCCAGGGACGTGCACTCTTCTCCACATGGACACTAATAAAAACATATAAGAAGCACGTGCCATTAGCAAATTCAAAATTTTACCCATGACATTGAAACAGGGGTTATTTGGTGGCTGATCCTCTGCACTGCCCCACAAAGGCTTGGCCAGGGCCAAACAGTTTGTTTTGGGGGCTGCATCTCTCCGAGTTTAAAATCTGCCTGTCTGTAGCCCCAGAGGCAGATGGTTTCCCATAAAAAAAGTGTCCTGCCTAAAACCAGAAATAGCAATTTAATAGATAAAGTGCCTGTCAGGCACCTGTAAACACAGAACGCCGCAGATGAAGGACCAGATGTATATCAGCAATGTGCTTGCATATGATTTCCTTTATGAAACCTTTAACCTCCGCATCCCACGTACTATTAAAAGAAAACTCCCTCACTCTTTGCTGTGGCTGCTCTGAGGCAATGAATACTTTGGCAAGGACATTAAGTGATTTCCCAGGTCCAACCACAAGGCGTAAGAGCTCTGAAAAAACTACGGCTTCTTACGTCAGCTCTGAGGATGTGCCAAAACTCTCCAGAAGAGCTGGTGATGCGCACCGTGAGCTGTGCATCTCCTGCAGCACAGCCTCAGCTCTCTGCAGGAACCAGCAGCCGGGCAGGGACCATCACTGCAGCTCATCAGCCACACGGGGACATTAAGACTTGCAATTGGTAATATTGCTTCAAAATTTCTTAGAAGAGAACCGAGGATCTCCGCCAATGGAGCTTGAGAGTCACAGCTGCTGTATCATCTCATTGCTTTTAAGGAGTTTGCTATAAGAAGGCAGTTTTTCTTGTCTTCTCTTATCTGAAGAGCAGGGTTAAACAAGCTATAGAAATCCCACTTGCCTTTGACCTCTTGATAAAAGTCTTATCTAAAGCTGGTTGAAGATAGACAGCAGCATTTCGAGCTGTTGCAGACTGGGCTTATCTGGGAGCGTTCCCTTTTATGTCCTTCAGCAGAGTGTCTGGAAGGCAGCACACAAGTTTCCATCACCTGCCTGATCTGAAGGGGACATGCAGGCTCCCTCCTATCCAACAGCTCTGCTAAGTGGGCTGGATCTCATTCACTGCTGACTCCTGGTGCCCAGACAGAGCTCAGACTCTGGCTTCTATCCTTGCACTCTCTCTGGGCATTGCTTTGAATCCTCTCTTGGCTTGGGTGTTAGATAGAATTAGATTCCATTTCAAAATCAGAAATCAAGCGATGCAAAACTGGCGTTGCAAGGCAAAAACTTCCCACAAGAAAGTTCTGAAAACTGCTCACTGACACCCTCGTGAGCACCCGAGGGTAAGCCCTCTCCAAAAGGCCTCTGGACAGACGGACAACTTTTGCAAGCTTCAGTGTGGCAGGAAAACACAAGAGACCTCAGGCAGTGTCCTTTTCTGATGCGTGAACCTCCAATTAAGGAGCTTATATCTTGGCCAATTTCATTCCTCAGCTCAGCAAGGGACTTCTTTTAGCAGTCAGACAGAGCTTAATTTTTTGAAGGTGCTGGAACAATAGAAGGGGT